CAATGTCTTCCTATAAGAGAAAAGTTTTAGTCTGCGGGTGGGGATAAATATGAAAATTTAGGGGTTTCAAATGCTTATTTAATCGATTTTAGAGTCTACGTATGTAGATAATACATATACATTTTTTCTCTTCTCTCCACGACAGGGGTTGGGGTGGGGGTGGCGGTGGATCTGCTCTACTCGACGGGGGCCCTTTCCTCCCATTGGTGCCACCCCCTGAGTATGAGATTAACCTAAAAGCTAAATATGGCCTTTTTTGGCTCCTTTCTCTTAATCATAGTTTTTATTGGTGCTTTTACTTCCCCAAACCTAAACTCAATGTCAGATGGTAACAGATAGCGTAAATAGAGAGATTAATTAATTTAGTAAAAGGATGATATACAGTACATATAATAATACATTAGTATATTCAATGCCGCGAAACTTAGACTAAGCAACAGAATGGTGCCCGTGGGGGGATAACACTATGCATTTCTTCAGTAAATAGTAATAAATTGTATACGGTACTATATTCGATTTCATAAGGGTTCACGCCCACCGGGGACGGGGACGCAACTGCTAATAAACTATTTTTGGCAGCGAAGGGATGCTACCAATAAACAATCAACAAACTACCGTGTTTCTGGTTTGATTTGCAAGGTACTACATAGCTCAAATATTTTTTACTTAGGGGTTAATTGGTAAAAATCGCACACAAATCATACGACGTCACTGACAACGCCGGAGACGGCAAATCGATTTTGAGCTTAATTTTCCGAATAAATTTATACTAAATAACTTCTAATGACGAACTGTCTTCAGTTGCCGTGTCTTTGTTTTGGTCATTCAACTGTCATTTTATCTATTTTTTCAGTGATATTATTCTCAATAATCTATAAAAGCACTTACATAACAACGTCACGTTATCGATTTAATCTAAATGATATTAACGCAAATGTTGTTGCTAAACTGTCCAATCGGAAAAAAAATTTTTTTTTGGTCACGTGCATAACTTAACGCTGATAACTCATTCTGGTTTACGTTAATTTTCGTTGTCAACGAAGTCTATTTTACGAACCAGTCGAATTAAAATTCTCAACGAAAATTCGTACTCAACAAAATGAACCAGTCGAATAAACCCAATAATTAAGAATTAAAGCTATGCTTAATTGCTCCCATTATTTATACGCAAATGATAGAATTCTAGGCGACAATGTCTTAAGCGTGACAACTATATAACAATTAATATAATTACAGTGTATAGTATCAAAGAGTATGTCTACAATTAAGTAATATATCAATAACATTCTTGACATAACAATTTCACCTACTTTTGTTGAATTTGATTTTTTTAATTGTTGATAATGAATACAAGCATGAGACCAATCTTGGTTTTTTTTAAATAAAGTAAATATATTATTATTAATAAAGTTAATACAGTATACTCTTATCTAACTTTTTAATATTAAAATTGACAAGATATAAATGAAAATATCATTTTATTATGCTTTTAATTGAATTACTATAATCTTCATCTTTCAAAGTGACCACCTTAAAAAATGTAGAGTGATAACTTCAATATTCTATTAAGTTGCAAATTCTGAGATACAATAAAAAACTACAATGAGCCCCTCCCTACTTGTGTGCTGCAACAGAACATAATTTACGGACTGAAAATGGAATGTAAGAACAGCATGAAACATGCCAAAAAAAAAAATCTGTTCAGTAAAATTAATTACTGAATTAAATAATTGTTTACAGTACTTTCTGTGGGCTAAAACATATTTTTATATCAAATGGTATGGACCATTAGCAGCAAGTTTATGTCCAAAACACTATTATTATTTCCTTCAAATGCAACAGTAAGTACACCAGCTCTTACAGGATGGAATGATGCTTTAAGTCTTTTTTTAGGTCTAGCGAGTGGAGTTGCTTTTAGTTGAAAGAAAATGTCCTGCTCTGACAGGATGGAATGATGCTTTAAGTCTTTTTTTAGGCCTAGCGAGTGGAGTTGCTTTTAGTTGAAAGAAAATGTCCTGCTCTGACAGGATGGAATGATGCTTTAAGTCTTTTTTTAGGCCTAGCGAGTGGAGTTGCTTTTAAGTTGAAAGAAAATGTCCTGCTCTAACAGGATGGAATGATGCTTTAAGTCTTTTTTTAGGCCTAGCGAGTGGAGTTGCTTTTAGTTGAAAGAAATGTCCTGCTCTAACAGGATGGAATGATGCTTTAAGTCTTTTTTTAGGCCTAGCGAGTGGAGTTGCTTTTAGTTGAAAGAAATGTCCTGCTCTGACAGGAATTGAACCCACAACCCTAGATTAGAAGGCAAGCATCTTAACCACTGAGCTATTCAACTCCACTTTTCTCATCTGCCCAGTCCTAAACTTCTCATTGTATCATAAATATTCCTGAGTTAGTTTCACCAGTGGTATTCCATTGCAGGATAATGTAGTTAACATTAGGTAATGTAAGTATTGCTGTGGCCATCATACAAAGGAGAGGTATTTATTCTCAAAGGTGCTGCTGCTATTGTGTGATCATTTCTAGTTTTTTTAACGTTTAAAGTCAGACTCCGGAGAAAAAAAAAATTTTGATATGTTGTAGAACTGATTTTTCTAAGTCAGAAAAAAGTTGTTTGATGAAAAACTGGGGAATGGTGAACAAGATACAGATTTTTGAATAATTAAAAACTGGGGGTAAAAGAGGCGTAACCGCCCATTTTTACACCTTTAATACATTGAAAAACATTAGAACCAAGGCGAGACTTTTTTCATACCTTGTTTAGCGAACATGCCGAACGCAAATATTGATGATTTCGAATAAAAACAAAATTTTATTTTTGGCCAATTAGCACACCCGCCCCCACAAAAAAATGGAAATTTCTGAAAAAAATTAAAGTTTTATTTTTATTACGCCCTCCACTGCCTTGAAATCTCCAAAGATAGAATATGTATATTTCTTCCTAATTACATAAATTTGAAGCATTTAACCATCCCATTTTACATTCACCAATAAAATTTATTTTTTACATTCACCTCCGTCTGGATGTTTTTGGAAAAACTATTTGCTAAATAAGAAAACAAAAATTTATTATTATTTTTATTCCGCCCTCCTCTGATGATCTTTAAAAAAATAAGTATGCGAAACAAGGAATAAAAAAAGTCTTGCCTAAGAATAATTCCCAGAAAAGGAATAGTCAATGACAACATTACTCACTACATATCTAACTTCAACAGAAAGTAGATAAACAATTAACATATGTATCAAATACTCTAGGCCGAACAGACTGCCCTGCGAGGTAGATAGTGAGATGAATGTACCTTTGTGCATTCAGCCTTTGGAATCAACCCATATAAGTGTACTGTAAATCTCAAGAAAATACAACAATTAAGTGACAAATGATTTTTATAAAACCTATTAACATTTATGTCATTAATGTATTATATAATTTTCAGTCAAAACATTTATTCCTATTACCATGTTTTACTCAAAAACTATATTATATTAGTGCATTCTAAATTCTTCTCGCAAAAATTTTATCATAAAAATAGAAGAAAATGTTCCTTTCAGAGAGCACAATATCATTATACATTACTTTCGTCAATTTCTCATACCATTATTATTTGTAATCATTCGCCACAACTATATAGTTATTTTCGCAATACTTGCATCACACTAGACACAATATCAAAATTATTATTCAATATCCATCTCATAATTCCACAATGCTGTCATCAAAATAGGTACAATACTTTTTCAACATTATTATTCCATAGAAATCTCAATTTACAATACTTTCATTAAAATAGATACAATCGTCAACATTATTATTCCATGTGTTGCAGTACAGTACTTCATATCCAGAGGCATATTTTAACACAACTACATAAAATAATCTTCAAATTAAGCTTCAAAAAATTAGTCCTGAAAAAAGTTCAAATTAATAATTAGTTTCAAAATAGAATGTAAATATTGTTATTCAAATCAAAAAGTGAATTATCAATAATTGTAACTTAAATTTATAAATGTGTAGAAATATAAGATATACTGCCACCAAAAAAAATAGAAAAAAACTTTGAAAAAAAGAAAGATTTTTCACTTAAAAAAGAATCACATATGTTACTCCAATAAGTTACAGATAAAAAGAAATCAGTATTTTAATGATTTACAGAATTTTACTACAAAAATACTTAAAAATTGCTGGCAGAAATACAAAGGTATCCAAAGATCATAGTAATGTTATAACTTAAACATCCAATAAATTTCTTTTCCAATTCAAATTATTTGGAAGCTAATTTAGCTGATAAATACAAAGCAATTAAAGATTTACAAGATTTACTTTTTTAAGTATCATATGGGGTTTGCCATGCCAGTGACCAAAACAACAACTCAATTTTTATTGATATTCTCCACATTATAAGCTTAAAAATGATAGGAATTTAGTTAAAAAGTCATGAATACTGTACCAAGGTTTCAAAGTATAAAGTACTGTATACAATACTGTCACATTCTTATGCTACTGTAATTACTGTATGTATGCTGGTTTAAGGATGGTAAGCCTCATATGTATTTTAAAGAGCATCACACTCTTTCTAATTGGTTAGAAACTCACCGTTGGATCTCTTTCTAATTGGTTAGAAACTCACCGTTGGATAAGAATCGAATATATTTTAATGTACTTTTTATAGCCACACTACATCCTGGAAACTTAATTAGGATTCAAAAATATATTTATAGATTATAAAATTATTAAAATTTATATGAAAGCTCTGATAGAAGACAGATATAAATAACTATAAAGTGAATAACACTGTTGTGGAATGAATCATATACCTCTTCAAGTTCAATTATCTTTCTTTTTTCCATTTTCAGATAGGTGATAGTGCTGAGGATAAGCCACCTGTAATGCTATCCCGGAAGCAGCTAGAATCGTTGCAATGATACTTGGACAGTAAGTACTATACTCCATCGCCATGCCACTCAGTAATGGTGCCATGGCACGTGACACCGACATCACAGATTGCGTAAGCCCTAGAAGCGACCCTGTATCTGATAGACCACCACGTTGTATACCGATATCAACCGCACACACTCTGGCAATAGCGTTAAATACTGATAAACATGTTGAGAACACGACAAACCATGTCAGCGATGGAGATAGTGTCATGCAAATAAGCGCAATAGTTGTTCCAGTTGATGAATGTCGTAGTAAACGTGCTATATCTTTGTAATAAAAAACAACGCGACCGACCATCATTCCAGACAGCGTGCTGATTAGGCTTCCATAAGAGATGATCCAGCCGTTGATTTTTGGCGTTGTTTCAAATCTTTGTTCAAGTAATAAAGTGAAATTACTCCTGAACAGCATCATACTCAATCCTGACAAGAAGCGTATTGCAAACAAGTCAGGTTGTGTCTTCGCTATTTTCTTGAATGTTGCAAAGAAATTTTTTACTTTAATGCTGTAATCATCGGAAGTAAACTTTTCAACGGATGGTGTTCGTGTAACATGTTCTTTAGGAGATGCTGACACAAAGAAGAATACAAGCCCTATAAATAAATGGGAATAATAATGAAATCAGTTATCTCTTTCAGAAATTACTGGGAAATTTTCCTGTAACATTGAATCTGATCACAGGCAAAAGTACAGTAAGTATCTAAGAAGATTACAATACAAAAAAAAACAAAAAAAAAAACAAACAACTTCACAATACTATATTAACAATTACATATAAACAGGATCTTTTCTTTTTGATTGGAGATGATTAGGATCTATTACTAGTTGAAAAATCTATTAACCGTGGCCAGATATAGAGGCGTTAGGACAAACAACCGCTTGGTAGACGGCTGTGGAGGCGCTTGGCCAAAAAATCGTTTGGTAGGTAGCTGTAGAGTCGCTAGGCCAAAAAACGCTTGGTAGGTACAGTAGCTGTAGAGGCACTAAGCCAAACAACCACTTGGTACTGTAGCTAGCTGCTACGTAACAAGATGGTGTCAATTGTTACTGTAATGAAGCAACATAGTACACAATGTTTGGCCTAATGCCAGGCATATTATGTGAAGGGCATAAAGGAATTGGCCTTATATGCTAAATAAAAGTGACATATTTTATGTCATTACTCTATCACTATACTTCTGATAACCAGGAAAATAATGAGACCCTTTTTGACTTATGTTTACATAATGACATTCAATTGATAATCAATGGTTTGACTGATTGACTCACCTACATTTACCATGAATGTAATGAACGTGAGGGAGCACACTTTATTAAAATCAGCAGAGTCCTCTGCGATATAACCGCCAATGACGGGCCCAACGATGAAGCCTGCAGTGCTGATGGCATTGTAGCGGCCGAATATCGCTGCACGCTGATTTTTAGGAGTGATGTCAGCCAAATACGATTTGGCAAGAGATTGTGTTTGCTTGACTATACCTAAAGAATGTTTGAATCACCAAGTTGATATAAACAGAACATAAAAATGCTGTAATTATTTTGTGTTGCCCAAGCATAGGTGAAAATTAAAAATTAAGGTTGGTCGGTTGGGAATATATCTTAAATTATAAACATTAATTAATGTAAAATACATGGAATAAAGAATCGTCGGATGTGAGAAGTCTGGGTGTGGGATTGAGTCAGAGTGTTATAAAATTACAGTTGCTGAGTTTTATTAGAAAGAAATTATGATAATCATGATAATGAATAAGTTGTAATGCCACACATACATAATAATAACAATAATAACAATAATAATAATAATAATAATAATAATTATCATTTATTAGGCACCCTTCTAAAAGAGATCAGAGCGCAGTACGCATTAAAACATAGTTATCGATAAACATGTAAACGGTAAAAGCACATCATTAAAATTCATGACTTAGTGAAGTATGCATGGTATCAATATGTGCTGACCTAGTGGTATCCTTGTCAATGCTACCATTGCAACACTATTTGTCAGCCCCATCAATCCATAGGAAATACCCGTCAACAGAAGACACCAGAATAGCACAAGATGCCGGCCAAATAGATCACTGCAGCGACCCTGTCAAACAACATGTTATAGTTGATATAATAAGTTATAACTGTTTTGATATAACCAGTTTATAGTTGATATAACCAATTCATAGTTGATATAACTGGTTTATTGTTGATGTAACCGGTAACAATCATGAAAAGACGATTAAACAAATATAGGGACCTAAATGTCCAATAATACTTGTACACTGAGTGCACATATTCTAATTTTATTTTCAAAAGTTTCAGATTTGATTAGATTTGTAAAATTAGTTTAAAAGTAAGCTTAAAGCAAGACTTTCATCAGATTGAATTTGGCAACATTTTCAACAAAAAATGTACTCATTTGTGAATTACAGGAGCCAAAATAAAATAAAGACAAGTGTGAAAATTAAAGGAGCAAAATCTAAGCACAGGAAGATAAAAGTGTAAAATATGAAAATGTACTACATATTTGTTGTAGTGTACAGTATCATTTTGTGTTGGTTTGGTCAGAACAGCCCATGGAAACACTGTTAATCGTACAATTACTTACTACCATAGGACCTGAGAAGAACTGCAGAACACCATAAACAGACACTAAAATGGAAAGAAGAAAGATTCAATTGGTTATAGTAATAACAAAAAAAAAATCAAATTTAGATAATAGAAGACTTTGCATTAATTTGCTAAATTATACATTACATAATATGGTAATTAACCTATATTATTTATAATATAGTATTCATGTTAACTTGATGAGTGAGGTTTACAGACTTTGTGTTATAGTGATTTAGTTCGCTTTTGTCTTCCTGCTTGGCCATTCCGTGGCAAAACAATGTAACTTGAAATTTTCACTTTTGGAGAAAAATAGAGTTAAAGTTTGCATGTTTATAACTTTGCAATAAATTGTCGTAGCCTTTTGAAATTTTTCAGGATTGTATATCTATAGACATTGTGATTATATTTAAAATTTAAACTACAACCATTTGTTTATTGCAAAGTTATTAGCGATAATTACAGATACGTTGTTTTGCCACGGAAACATATCCGGCTTGATATTGTTGCAAGTGCGACATATTTTTGGAATTGATTATGTTTGGCGCAATCATATGCATTACCTAGCCTGTGCATACATCGCTTTTAAGAATATTATAAAAACACTAATAACCATTTGATTTTGCCTTGCCAAACTCCATCGGTTCAAGACCATTTTTGAATACCATTCCGTGGCAAAACAACGTATCTTCATTGCAGATACGTTGGTTTGCCACGTAATCTTTCTTGTAGTTACGTTGTTTTGCCACAGAAAATCACTAGATTTTAGTTTTGTGCTTAAAGATAGGTGGTGCTATCTCAGAAACGACTCATTATTGAGACCTGAAAGTTTCACAGGTAATTCAGACCGTGTTTAATATTCTCCCAAATGATATTATTTTAAAATCGACAAAAATGTCAGTTACATTGTTTTGCCTCGGGACGGCAGCGCTGACTCATTCAATTTATTGTACTTGTATTCTGTACGTATTCCACCATTGTATTTTACTACTTTAGGCGAATAAAGAATAAAAATAAGTATATGGTAAAATACAAGGCCACACCAGAAAGGCAAATATAAAAAAATAATGAAGAAAGAAATGATGAAAGCTCTAATTTGAACACAAGGAAACACAAGATTTAAACAGATAACAGAGTGAATACTGTGTCCATCATCAAGGGTAAAGGAATGATGGTAGAAAAAATAGATAAATAGAGTTCCTTCTACCTACCAAGCAAACACGTTTGGTAACCCTTACTCTCTTTCCCCTTGCATCAGACACCATTAAAATGATGATAAAATTCAGCTCAGAGCCTTCACCCTCTACCCAACCACAAATCTTTCCCTAGACCCCACAAGCAGACCTTTGTGAATCATGAGCCCCTGGTTCTCGTAGGAATTTCCTCTTAATGAATCTTGGATACAACCTTGTTGCATACATAGTTTTATATTAGTTACAACCAAGGGAGAAATTCAGAAAACGCTAGCAGGTTAATGTTGAATAACATTTTTAATAATTGAATAACATTTTAAATAAATTATTGAAATGTAACTGAAGAGAATAAAAAATGAAAGAACATGAACTTGCAACTGACGCCCTTTTGCATTCAGACGAAGAAACACTTTTTGACATGTCAAATTCATGTATACCCCATACCCCAAACAGTTCTGGAAAAAATATATAAGTTTCCTCTCATGTTCACTTAAAGTTTGTAGTGCTTCCGGTAACTTTGCTGAATAAATATGGGATAAAACAAGAATGGCAGCCATGATATACTCACTGACAGCTCCTATAACTCCTGGCGTTGCCCCAAGACTCGATAAATAATTGGTGATATGTGGAATCAACATACCAACTCCCAGGAAGTCCTAGGATACATTAAAAATAGGTTAATTAATATTACAGTATTAATTATTAATTCTATTTATCATTACTCTATCATGTCATGTCGGATGAAGCCTACTACGTTTAATACCATATCCAATACAATATATGCAGTAACATAACCTAGTCTCTAACTTAGCTAGGAACATAAATATTGAGAAGACAAAACCAACATCAACAATTTCAATTTATTTTCATTCCATTCATACACCATAATATAAAATTTAAATTCAGAGAAAAATACACAAAAGTCAATTTATTTACATTGTGGTCCGTAAAAAATAATTACTCCAAAAATTCACAACAATAAATAAAATACTTCAAAAATCAAAATACAGTTAACAGCTAAGTAAGCTAGTACTTTTTAGGCCTATTTAACAAAAAAATAATATTAATAAGTAAATTACTGAAACATCTGATTCAAATTTTTTTTTAAAGAAAAAATAATAAAGTCTTTGAGAACGCATATTCATTAATATGCCGTTTTGCTCTGATTTTGTTTGTTGTATACTACTAGTACTAGGCTTTTAGTTAGGCCTAGTCCTACTGTAGTTGTAGTACCAAGCAGTAGACATTAGCGGCCATGACTGCACGTTGTACTGCTAACAATTAAAAAGTGGCCCTAGCCTAGAAGGCTAGGTAGGCCGACCGAGCCGGTAGTCCCTACCCTACCTATCAGGCGTAGGATAGCCCAGGCCTACCTAGCAAGGCCCTAGGCCTACGCTTACTTACATTCCTTGCCCGGTTTAGCTTAGGTCTAAGGACCTTACAATAGAGTATAGCCCAAGGCTCTAGTTTAAACTACGTCGTATTATACTATTCAGTAAAAACAAAAATTAGTGCGCTGAACTTACAAGAAATCCTACAAGACACAGACAGATCTGCAATCTACTCATCTTTGCGGAACTAAAATCACTGGTAGCCGCCATCTTTGTTCTTACAATGTTCTATTTTTCAGCCGATGGGTGGCGTCCTACGTTCTGGTGTTTTTATATGGCCTGGGTGGGATGAAGTCGCAAGTCGCAGCCTCTTGCGCTAAATTATTTAACTATCGCCCTCCTCTGTCCAAAAGGTCGTGACGTCATTGAGGCACAAGTTTCTTAACAGTACCATTATTATTCCATATTTGTGGAGCTGACTAGAAAAGTCCGTCGGTTAATTAATGAGAGAAATTAAGAGTGCACAAACAAATTTCACTACCTGCTGCATGAAGAAAGGCAGGCCGGGTGAGTCGTCCGTCCGGGGTACGTGAGTGAAAGAAAGATTTCAGAATCTTAAAGGCCAGGCTCCGGAGAAAAAACAATGTTTATATGTGGTACAACAGTTTATTTGTAGCTCGTACAGCTAGGCTGACTCAAAGAGGCCTTCATAACAAATACAACAAACACAAAAAACATGAGTAAAATAGAAATAGCACAAGTAAAAAAAATGATTCTCTATAAAAGTTAAAACAATTGAAATTAATACAAAATAAAAGTTATTCTCAATCAATATTAAAACAAAGTTTGAACCCAGAAAGAAAAAAAAATATAAAGTTAGAGAATTATAGTAGAATTATTGATTATTATTAATTGCTATTAATTAAAGGTAGAGACATAATATATTGATGAATGAATAGATACGGTGGTGCACCACAAAAGAGAAAAGCAAATATAAAAATTTCAATTTCAGAAGACGAAGGGTGTTTGACGAAAAACTCGAGAACGCTTAATGAGATATAGATTTTTGAATATTTCAAACCTGAGAGGAAAGGGATGGATGGACTTTCCTCTAATTTTTAAATGCCTATCAAAAAATCAGTTGTACAATGTATCTTTATTTTCTCCGGAGCATGGCTTTAAATTTAAAGAAAGAGTGAATTTAGCAGGAAAGTGAATTGGAGTTTTGTTGGTAGATCTAAGCCTACTTAACTTTGGAAGTAATCTTAGAATTGTTGGTTACCATTACCGTTTTATGCCAACCTTCGATGTGTTGGTATTTCTTTAAATACCGTACCTTCGTAACTAGTCGTGATGATACGGGTTGCAACATTTCGAAGTACAAACCGATACCCATAAATCAGACGACCCGTAGCCAGTACGGTACCTATTTTTATACCTCCTTGGTATTCCTAAAGACAGTGCCGATG